ATGGTGATTGCTATGGTGTCACAACCCCATCCACAGTTTAAGAATAAGTTATTAAGTTTGGAAAGGATGTTCTGCAGGATCAAAACCTATTTGTGAAAGAGTTCATTTTCTTTCTATAGTTAGATACACATAATAGTCACCAAAAATTGTGTTCCATGTGCACCATCTTAGAGAAGTGGATAACTCATTGCTGTTGCTAAGGCTTCTTTTGCTGTTGAAGGCTGTTGTAGTCTATAACATGCATGATTTTAAATTTAGTCTGTAGGACATTTTCACTATAATGAGCCAGTCAGTGTGTGGTTTAAAAGTCAAAATCTATCCAAAAAAACCCTGTACAAAAATGTAAGTGCATCCTGGCTGACTCCTTTTGTTTATCCAAATTAAACCTAAATGTATATTTAAAGGTTAAAAGTTAGATTGTAGTTAGTGATATTTAAAGTTTGGGTGTAAATTTAGCAACTACTAGGACAATAGATGATCTTAATTGAGGTCAAATAGATATAATTATTTCTTTTGATGCGAGGGCGCCAGTATGACACAATTTGTCATATATATTATCATTTTAACCTATAGTTTGAATTTAACATGTTCGGATGGTTGTTGTATTACCCGAAATAACCCCCTGTGTTCATCCTAACTCGTCATTCCATTTGACCAATTATTAGTCATGTTACATCAGAACATACTGTACTTTTGTGCAATATTAAACTGTGATGGATCTGATTGGTTAAAAACCTCATATATTACAATGACAGAGTTATGTTTTATTATCTTGCCATTACATCTGATGACGACACGTGTATATTGTGTTGAAATGTTATGTGCCCAACCTTATTAAAGAAGTGTGTTATATTCGATAATATTGTCTTGTGTTTTGTTAGAAAAATACTGGATCAAGGGCTATCTATTGAAACTGACTGAAGACAGTAGAATTTCTCTAGCATATAATTAGAAAAATTTTAACAGCATTTTGATTAAGTTGACATAAGTAACTTAAGTGATCTGAACTTGATTTTGAGAATATGGTCATCAGATCATGGATGACAAGTGCCTTGACCTGCAGAAAAATCACAGACAGAAAAATTGATTACATCTGCATTTTAATCAAATTGTGTATATACAACACATGAATATAAGTTGCTTTGAAGAATGCAGACAGATAATGAAATTGTGGACAAGAATAAACGACCATATTTGATTTCCATAATCTTTAAGATATGGCGGTATGGGACACATTAATCAAGATGTTAATAGAATTAATTAGTAGGGTTTAACATCTCATGACACTAGATTTATTGAGAATTAGTGTGATCTATGATTGATAGAGTCATAGAGTAATTACTACCAGATGCTCACCATTTACACGTTAAATAATTTCTATGCCACTGCCTGTGCCTTTTTTTTTTTTATCCAAGACTAGTCTTTTAAAGTAGAACTGCAATAGGATGGGCAAACAATTCTATGCCACTGTCTGTGCCTTTTTATCCAAGAATAGTCTTAGAAATTAGGGCTTCAATAGGATGGACATACATTTCTATGCCACTGCCTATGCCTTAGAAAATTTAAAATCCTATTTTTAAAGCACCATACCTAATGATCAAACTTGATGACAGTTTTATTAGGTGGAATCAGGCAGTGGAACAACTTCTATTCTTCAACCCCTACACACCAGTATTTTGCAGCCTCTACACATTTTTCTGTTCTCGAAAGAAATGTAATTTGTAATAATGTAAAAATTGTATAGTTTAAAATTGACACAATTTCTCTTGGTATGTTATAATGTAGATAATTATTTTGTTTTGTCAAATCTTGAGAAAATTGCTCTGATTTTAAATGGCCAAATCTATTGTAACATTACTCAGCAACAAATAAAATTGCTTTAATCCTTGAATATGAGATAGCAGACGCAGAAAAAAAGTCAATAATAATAGAGAGAGGCAACACGATTAGATTCAGATTACTGTACATCATATCATCACCAACACGGAGACAAAAACAATTCCTCTAATCTTATTTGTCAAATTTTTCTAGGGTAGATAACCCCCCGGCACTTGAAATATGACTCCGCTTTCTCTGTTGCTAACGGTTTGTATCCCAGGGGGCATAGCAAGAAAAGAGACTGGCATCATTTCAATGAACACTTAGTGTCAAATCCAATCAAATTCGACAATTTTCTCCTTCAAATGGTGTGGCAGTCGACAAGAAAATCAAGGCTGTAGTTGTGAAAATGAAATTTTGTGTCCTTAGATATTGACAACTTTTTCACAACTTTTACGTCAAGTCTCCAGCTGGGCAGACTGATGGCTAATAACCAATGTAGTCTTGATCAGTGTCACTCAAATTATCACAAGTGTTGGACACAAAATTGTAACCGAATCTAATCACGTTCAACCAGAAAAAACCTGCGGAATTTTTAATCGCAGATGGTGTTAAAAAATGTCATGGATGTGAGAAGGAATGCAAAAAAGATGTCTGACTGAATGAATGTCATTGCCAGAGAGGAGGAAATGATGCTGGATTTTCTGTAAATTGGGTGCCACAGAATTGTCAATGGGGGTACACCTATATTGAAATTTGAGATTGGAGAAAGGGGGGGGGGGGGGGGGGGAAGAGGATACATTTCTGCATCGAGAATAAATTTCTATAATTGACATATGAAGAGAATCTTGATCTGCTGATAATCTTGTTAATCCATGCCATTGTCCACTCTACATCTCCTCTCAATTATATCTATTTTAGTCCAGTGAAACCTGGAGAAATAATGGGAGACATGGTTGAAATGACAGAATTTTTTTCAATGAAATTTATATCTATGAAATATATTTATGGGATGTATCTCTACAATACATGAAATATCAATGAAATATATGTTTGATATGCTTGTATCAATGAAATATATGTTTGATATGCTTGTATCAATGAAATATATGAATGAAATACATATATCAATGACATTAAATTAATGAAATGTGTATTATTGAAATACATATATCAATGAAATAAATTAATGAAATGTGTATTATTGAAATACATATATCAATGACATTAAATTAATGAAATGTGTATTATTGAAATACATATATCAATGAAATAAATTAATGAAATGTGTATTATTGAAATACATATATCAATGACATTAAATTAATGAAATGTGTATTATTGAAATACATATATCAATGAAATAAATTAATGAAATGTGTATTATTGAAATACATATATCAATGAAATAAATTAATGAAATGTGTATTATTGAAATACATATATCAATGACATTAAATTTGTAAAATGTGTTCATAAAATTTAATAATGAAATGTATTAGTGAAATATATGTATCAATGAAAAAATATAACTGAAATGTGTTGATGAAATCTATAAATGAAATGAAATGAAATATATGTATTAATGACAATAAATTAGTGAAATGTATTGATGAAATCTATAAATGAAATGTAATATATGTATCAATGACAATAAATTAGTGAAATGTATTGATGAAATCTATAAATGAAATGAAATGAAATATATGTATTAATGACAATAAATTAGTGAAATGTATTGATGAAATCTATAAATGAAATGAAATATATGTATCAATGACAATAAATAAGTGAAATGTATTGATGAAATCTATAAATGAAATGAAATATATGTATCAATGACAATAAATAAGTGAAATGTATTGATGAAATCTATAAATGAAATGAAATATATGTATTAATGACAATAAATTAGTGAAATGTATTGATGAAATCTATGAAATGAAATGAAATATATGTATTAATGACAATAAATTAGTGAAATGTATTGATGAAATCTATAAATGAAATGAAATATATGTATCAATGACAATAAATAAGTGAAATGTATTGATGAAATCTATAAATGAAATGAAATATATGTATTAATGACAATAAATTAGTGAAATGTATTGATGAAATGATGAATGTTAATGAAATTGTATCAATGAAACATATTTATTGAAATGAATATCAATGAAATCTATAAAATGTATATTAGTGAAATCTGTTTTAAGCTTTAACAATGAAATCTATAAACAGCTTTATAGACAAAATATATAGATGTATGTAATAGACAAGAGTGTAGCTGTTGATGTTCGAACATGTGTTTTTGACATATAATCCTCCTCAGGAAAACCATTCAATTCCAACACTAGTACTTTTAAAGGTATATGAGTTAAGTAAGAAAACACTTTTAGCAAGATACAGAAGAATCTAATAAAAGCGCATAACAGATCCAAAACCGCAAATCAGGTACAATTACAGTACTGTCTTTCTACTTTAAATCATGATAACTTGGAGAGATAAAGGAGTCATAACAGCCAGAAGGAATCTGTTTTGATGATGACAGAACTTAATGTTTACTGGAGCAGACGTAGACTGTTTTTTTCACCTGTTCAATTACAAATTATACTACTGACTGTATATCGAGACGTTTTCTAGAAAATTGATCTGTTAGTGGAAACGCAGCCGGAGGGACTATTGAGGGGTGAATGAGAGAAATATAGTAATTGGATGGTAGATTACAGTAATCCTACACTATCTCTGCTCGTGACAGTCACAAACTATCCATCTGGTACTCAAAATTCCATTTACAAAGTCAAAGAAGCTAACTATTTTTCCATTAGTTTAATAGGAACATTTTAAGGCAAATCACAATTTGTTTTAATGGAGAACCTATCTTCCAGGAATGTTCATGAATTTTCTAGCATCCATTTAAAACTTCCTCCGTTGTTTGATTTTCTTTATATTTTTCTCTGTCATTTTTTTTTTGGGGGGTTTTAATGTTAAAAGCATCTGCACACATCTTACTTTCCCTTTTTGCTGTGATATTTGATTAAAGAGCCGAACTGGTCTTTTTTGTGTTTTATTATTGTCTTCATACAATTGTGTTCAGTGAATTTAGACCTGATCATGCTATCTGACCACAAAACATGGCTTCAAGCATGCGTCAAAATTTGAAGAAAAAAAAATGTACTCACTTTTACAAACATCATTAATTCGTTTATAGCCTAAATGCATAGCTTGAGATGGTGTTCTAGGTGGTTTATACCATAATCCATACCGCACTGAAAAATAGAGAAAAAGGAACATAAGAAAGATTGTCTGCCATGGAAATCCTGCTTCTGTTTTTTTCAGTGGAGGGGACACTTAAAGTTTTTATTCCACCATTTTGATTATCTGATGTCTGTGGTTCTTGAAATTCCAAAAACAAAGTTGACCAGATGATGTGGAACGAAGAAGAAACTAGTTTGGCTTGAAGTTTCTGAAATTACAGGAACCACTGGCGTTTGATTGGAAATCAGAATGTTGTAATGAATCAGAATGCTGCATTTACAACTTGTTAAAAAAATAACCCAGAATCTATTTAAAACTCATCCCGAATCATATTAAAGAAGAAATTAAAACATTTAGTTTATATATTATTGACAAGTCTTTGTGGTTGTCATTCATGGAGAGCCAAACCTAACAGAAGTACATGTTCATTGTCTCTCCTAGTCATTTCCCCGTGTGCTACAGGCTGTGCACGTTAAAGATCCCTCGACAGTTGGAAATCGAAAAAGAGCAGGCTAATGCCGCTGTCCTGGCAAAATTTCCCTCATTACGCCATACATGGCGTTGCCCGTCTTCATTAGCCCACATTGTGCAGAAAAGTAGGACGTAAAACTCCATTCATTTCATTTCATTATTTCTCCTAGTCATTTTTTGTTGTTTCTTAGAATTCTCTTATCTCCAGTATGTACAAGTTTGTCCCAGATGAAAATGTACCCAAAATGTACTAAGGTACATCTAATTTTATAATTGAAATCAATAATCATGTTTTCTAGTAGTATATTCTGTTGTAATGGAAATCAAATTAAATTCTGAGACAGCCTTGAAAACATTATGACGGAACAAAGATCACAGAAAGGTTTGTCTAATTGGAAACATTCCACAGAAGACAAACACATATTGTTACAAATGAATGTGACTTAGGCCATCCTTTTGTCATCTGCACAAAAGATGTACGTAAAAACAAGAACGACCTATGATGTAACAGGAAAAAGGAGTGAGTAGATAGTTCACTGAGTTTTCAGACGTAGATTAAAGGCGTCTGCACACAATTAATGTTTTGATTATCTACCTACATTACTATCTAAATCTTATAATTATAATGGAGACGACATATTGGTAATCAATAAATAACTCTATTATTATTATAATTCATATTTTTTTTTAAATCCCCGAGGATTAGAGATTTGCATGACTTCAAATTGAAACCAGACAACCTCAGAGAACCTAATATGTTACAGGAATCAATAAGGATTTCCTAAACCATACTATTAGCATGTCGTATATAAAAAGATCTAATAACTGATGTCAACTAAGGGCAGACGGAAAAAAATATTTATAGATTCCAGTGGGATTTGGATGATGTCAAGATTTGTCAAGGATTCTTAAATCTAAGAAAAAAAGACTGTCACAAAGATCTATTGTGGGAGTATGGATTAAGTCTACCTTCTTTTTTTTTTTAGAGAGCATTATGTCTGCTATGTATGAAAAGAATTTGAAAAATAGTCTCTGTAAATTCATAAAATCCATATCACTGGGATCAGACACTACACTGACAATGGACATGAATTGCAATTTATTACAAATAGAAGCTGTAGGTGTCCCCAAAACTCATATAAGGCCAGAAAACCTCTTAGAGTTGCTAAAGGATAGATTTTTAGATATTTGTACACAAATTTAAGGCCAAATTGTACTTGGTAGGCCTGTTGGATTGGTCTGTAAATTTCACCCATTCATCTTGCTTTATGTAGGCCTATTTATTGTGAAAATTTCAGTCGATTTGAATGTACTTACTTACCGCAAATGTGATGTTATTTTATTGGATTATGTATCATACTATCAGCTTTTAGTTATGGTCTATTCTAGAAATTCATAACTATTTTTAGATAGTGATCGTATCTAAGACGCTTTGTATTTATTGAACTAATGATGTGATATGGGATATGGTTCATCCATTATCCAGTCAGTCCGAGCCCCAAAGCGCTACTCAATTTGGGCTTTGTTAAAAAATGTAATGTATTTCCTGGCAGAAGTGGGAAAAATTAGGCGGCAAACACTGGTATTTTCTGGTTCCATTGCTACCCTAATAAGTATGGATTGCATCTATAGTAGATGTTCATAGCAACACTTGATATGATTCTGCAATTGAGTATCCCAATTCTGTATCCAACATATTTAATACAGTTGTAATAGTATAGTAATTGGTTTTGACAACTTCTTAATGAAATGATATGCATTCTACTTTTCTGCAACTGTGTGGGCTAATAATTACTGGTAACACCATGTAGTGTGCAACAAAGGAAATTTTGTCAGGGCAGTGTCCTAAATTCCTTTCAAGCAAGTCTTTTTTGCTAAATTCCAAAAAAATGAAGACATTAAGGTAGAGTGAACACAGGGTTGTAAGCTAATTACAGAGTGATGGAGTGAAATATTGATATTTTCTATCCATTTGTCGGAATAATAAGGGTAAATTAGTGCTTTTACTAATTAATAATTCAGCTTTATATTCAATGGCTTTCTTTACTTATTCATAATTAGCTCTATTGTTTTTAATTATCTTTGATGTGTGGTTAGCATGTTACAAGCCAGTATCGAGATGGAACCGGCCTTATTAATTATTCAGTCTTGCTGCACAAAATCTTACAACGTTTGTCATCGATATGTTAAAAGGGATTAATTGATAAGTCAAGATCAAAGTCAGACTTGAGAAATAAATCAGTCTTCTGATGGAATTCAGGAACCAATAATTGAATCAGGAGGAAATGGAATTGGCTACAAGTACCTGGGTTTGCGTATTCATGTACTTCTAAGACTTAACATGAAGTTAAATAGAGGTTTACTTCCTTTTTTTTTTCTCCTCCTGTTTGAGCTGAATGCAATGCCAGTATGCAATGAGATAATTTTTGTAAGGACACTGGCTTATTCATTTTCCATCAATACAGGTATCTTTTACATGCATAGCCTGCAGCACACCAAGCTTCTGTGTATAGTTCTATGCAAACATGTAGATGCTTCAATCAAACACAAAGACCACATTCTTACTTTTGACCCTCAATTTTGACATTACCAAACATTTTTGTCATTTATGTGCAATACAGCATTGCTCTTTTCAAACCAATGTGTTTGACAAAAAAAGCCTGGGATAGAAAAGTTGAATAAAAATTGCAAAATAAGTACCTTATATATGCATGTGAACTCTATGAAACTGGGAAATTGTAGTGGAACCCAAATGAATTTAAGTTTTTGAACTTGACTCCTTATTCCTTGTTTCTTTGACTTTCAGAAAAGATTGACAATATGAATATAGATAGATAATGATATACAATTGTTGTATATTATATAATATATATATCTCTTGATTCTGAATCACAATCTCTTTATAACTAATATGTCTTTATGACAAACTTTCAATTACACTAAGTGTAATTTCAGCACACAAATATAATATTAAAGAAATAATAGTCCTCATAAAGATTACGCAACTGCTGAGCATTTCAACTTTCAAATTGCCTTTCGTCTGACATACTCTCATTTCTTCACTCATTTCCATAGTTTTAGTGGTCTGACGTCTCAAGTTGACCATAATATTTGCCATTAGTAATATTACATAATCATTAATTGTATGATAAAGTATACAGAAGACATTTTAATGGCATATTAATTCACTCAAGATACAATAAAATACAGTTTTTCTTTAGCCATCAACACACATGTGGCACTTGATAATAGCCCTTAAAGAAATGAGAGAGCGACTATTGAAAGCAAGTGAGGCGAACTAATACTAATGTTGTTCGATTGAGTAATTCTGAAGCAAGTTGAACAAGACTATGTGTATTTCTTGTAATAGTGGGTTAGTTCGCTTCATTAGTCACACCAAAATTGATCTACAAGCATGTCAAGAAGGGGATCACCTTATTCAAAATGGCTGCCATTGTGGCATTCATACTAATTTACATAAAACGCTTAGATTACGGGATTAATTCATCAACGTTTTCTATACAGCTGGCCTCGGATTTCCATTAGCATAACAACTCATGCTTTTATATTCTCTCTTGTCTTCAAGTGCCAATCAAAAGAGTTTGGAATATAATAATCCATTTTGGCTCATGTCTGTAATGAATTTATGAGTATGACAATCCTTGGGACTTAATTAGGCAAGGTTAAAGAATTAATTGATTAATCTGGTATCTTTAATCAATCTTCTTCTCTGCTCATCAATTTCACTCTATGGATACAAAATGGACGCCGAACAACTCCTGACAATCTAATTCACCCAATTTTTGTTCAGTGAAAATGTTCCTCACGCTTCATTTGACACCAGACGATGTTTTTATTGTTGGTCAGATCATAGGGCGTCTGGCTACTTTCTTCTACTCTCTTGCCAATGGTAAGGTAATATTTGGTGTAGAATTGGCAGAACACAGAGAAAAGATGACATTTATATAGCCTAGTAAAATTTACACCAAATTAGTTAAGGTCTTATAAGCAGACGTTATCTGTGTTTAAAATTTCATAGCCAAAGGTATTTTACTCTTTCTCATTGATCATATGTACACAATACACAATCCCTTTGGCACCAGACTAGGAGATATTGACGGAAGTAAGAGAAATAACTCAATGCCTACATGCAACCTGAACACAAAGGATGAAAAATGACTATCATTACATTGAACAGAGAGTTCATCATGCATGGAAACTTAACATGGGTATAGCCTGAAGTGTCAGATGTGGAGTGGCAAAAGGTGTTCTAATAATGTGGTCTTGTCATAGGATTTGGATAGATGGAATAAATATACCAATTGAAACAATATGTGGACTCTCTTGGAGATGCTGAGTTGACATTCCCAGTCACTGAGAGTCATCATGTATTTTAGATATTAAAGTATGCAATTAAACAATATGTGGACTCTCTTGGAGATACTGAGTTGACATGCCCAGTCACTGCAAGTATGCAATTAAACAATATTTGGATTCTCTTGGAAATGATGAGTTGACTTGCTCAATCACTGAGTGTCATCATGTGTTCAATTATTTAAGTATGCAATTAACCAATATTTGGATTCTCTTGGAAATGATGAGTTGATTTGCTCAATCACTGAGTGACATCATGTGTCCTAGACATTTGTGTATGCAATTAAACAATATGTGGACTCTGTGAAAGGATGCTCAGTCACTCATTCATCACATGTTCCAGACAATTGAGTATGCAATGACTCTGGGAGATGTTGAGTTGAGATGCCAGTCACTGAGTGTTGTCAGGTGTTCCAGAAGAGTAAGCTCGGAAGATAGGATTAAATTCATATACATCAGTACAGTTATACCATAACAGAAAAACAAAATTAAAACATCTTATCAATGTCTACAGCAATTTCCTACAAATTACATTAGTCTCAATTTACTTTTATGTTGGAATAATTGCATGCAGTTATTAGTCTTATTACTTTGGTATAGTTTCAATATAATATTTCATAATTAGATCATGATTGATTACAAATCAGTTGGAAAAGCAATTTGGTCCAAAATGACTTTGTGTCTAGCTTTTTGAAGTCTTGATGCTATAATAACACAAAATTACCCTTATCAGATATAATGAGATCTAACAAATATTGAACAAAATGATGATCCTCTTAAATCTTGGTGCCTACCATATTGTTTGATCTTATTCATGAGCAATGTAGGAGAAAATTTTAAATTAGATGTTTGTTTTTAACACTAAAAATAAGTTATCATAACCATAATTTCTTGGTTAACATTATTTCTATTTTTATATCTATGGGCTGAATGATACTTAGGTGCAACTGACTTATGTAAACTAGGGAGTTCATTATTATTAAAGGGACAGGTGCAGCAATTAGGGGGGTTGATTTTAGTCTTGAATATATGTAAATAGTCTACAGAAGTACTAGAAATATAAGTAGATCGCAAAATTCCCTCAAAAATATCTTAAACTAACTCACTATTTCTATATATGTCTTTTCTATATATCACAGAGTATCGTAAATTGACCAGTCATCATTTTAACATTTACATACGGATAATTCTAGACAAACATGGATTTGAAGCTTTTATGATTAGCTAAGCTAAAAAAATCCAGTTTCTGAGACCAAAGTATGATTTTTAATCTAGAGTAACTTCTAACATTTTTTCTGAATATGAATTGTCGTCTGCAACATAATCAGTTTGTCACTAGGTGGTCCATTTTTAATAAAAAATTCTTTTCACAAAACTTTTTTTCTTCTCTTCAGTTACCTATTGATATAACATGTCTCGTTCAACAGAATCAAAAAAACGCTTTACCTTGTGGAAGCAGGGCAGATGCTGTCAATTGCAAACTTGCCATCTGCTAGGCTTCTTGTAGTGGTAGACTTGATTGTCCATACACCAGGAAGACTTTCTGATGCAGTAGACAGTATTTTTAAGGATGACACAAACTTCTTCCTAGCTTGAAGGTATAGTGCAAGGACATTGATAAGCTTGTTAAAGATAGGTTCCCTTATTTTCATTTATGAAAATACTAATACTTATATGAATAACTTGGAAAAATACCAGTTTGTTTCACATGTCCATAATTAATTCATAATTAGCTAAATTAGAAGAGAATTACCAACAGTATTTCAATGAGTGACCGATCAAAAAAGGTCAAAGAAGGTTTTTTGTTTATCCAGACTGCACATGCATAAAACATAATATATGATTAAGAATACATGATAATTCATTAGAAACATCAGTTAATCAAATAGATTGCATAATTTGATACTAAAAAATAAGGAAACCCATCTTTAAAGATCTTAAAGCACCCTCAGCTTGCCACATGAAAGTATCAAAGAAAAAATGATATTGGGTAGAGCAATTCAAAGAGCTTTGTACGCTAGTAGTAATGTTTTTCTTAATCCTTATAAAAGATGCAAGCATTTGAACTGTTTAAAACAAACACTAAAAAATAAAGTTCAAAATTTTTAAAAAGGGTAATTTCACTCAAAACCTATGATGAATATTTAAAGATGTTATTATGGCTAACCCTTTTTGCGGCAGTTGACCTTTTGTAATTGTATATGTCATTTATACATGTTACTCCTGGAATTAACTACTCTCATCTAACAAACTTGTCAAATATTTCCATATCAATTACAGTTTTCCTAATTCTTCATAAATATATTATTAGCCTTGATTACTAGCATTCCACTTTTTACCACAAAAGTCAGCAATTTTTGCAGCTGCAACGGAAATTGATTAACTTTTTCTGAGTGTTGTGAAAATTCTATTTGTAATTACGGAAGAGACTTTAACAAATATGTGTCCAAAAGATTATTGGTGCCTTTGAGAAAAGCTGAAAAGAACAATTCAAGGTTTGAATTATGGGTAGCCGCGCAGGCTTGAAGAAATCTTGACCTCTCCATTGTGTGCTCTCAGCTACCCTTGGCCTGATTGCTAATCATGTCTGGATATGCACTAAACAAAAAATGGGAAAATGAATTAGAATTGGAATATCAGAAAAAAATATCTGTTTTAAATTGAAGTAGGGAGTGGGGAATGGCTTGAAGAACAATAGGTAGAAATAGCATGCCATAAGGCAGCCAAGTGTTGTTGGTATTACAATGGATTGTCATCTGTTAAGCAATAAAGAATCCCAATAAATCAAGAAAATTGCATGGTGGTACAGCAGTACTTTTGAGAGACAGCCCATCTATGTAATACTTTCTTACTTAAAGGTATACTACCTCTTAGTATGGACATGAAATTTAAAATCTTAAACTTGGTCAACAAGTGTATATATTCATCAGTTAAACTTACCAGGTGTCATGACTAAAGAATAAAATCTCTATTATATTCATTTAACTAAATAATCATTGAAACACGCTTCTAAGCAGATAAGAGGTAGTATACCTTTAAAGTACATGTACTATCATGTGTATTTCTATTGAATTGCATGTTATACATAATACTTCTGTGATTGATTTTGCAACTTACAACTTGGCGTCTGACTTTCTGGCCATTTTGATCAAGAATCAATTTGTAATATTGGGAGTTGATTGTAACATAAAATCATATTTATCAAACATAATGGAAGTGATTATCTAACTTGTTTCCATGTCATTGTCTTCACTTACTTAGCCTAATGGCAGAATCTTAAACAAAAGATGAACTCTAACAATTCTGACAAATAAATGAGAAATAACTTAGGGTCATTTTCTTATGGTTTAGGGACATTCTTATTGAAAATCGAATGGGACAATAAAACCAAGCTTGTATCTGCTACAGGCTATACATAATCAAGACCCCTTGATATTTGTCAATTGATCTAATGTAGACTAATTCAACTATGGTGGCAAAATTTCCGTCATTGCACACATCATCATCAGCTCAATCAAGAGCAAGAAAGTGGTGATTTAACCTTCATTTCTTATGATATTAATTACTATATTGAAATTAACACTACAATGGATCAGAAAATATTTGCACCATACAGCTGTGTGAGTTTGGCTTTAGTAAATCTGATCCATAATTAAACCTATTGAAAGCTAAGATGAACATCTACTTGTGCTTTCAATATCTGAATATCGTAAACCAAATTACTTGTATAGCGAACAAATTGGTACATTTTACAGTCGATTGCTCCAGCCCATTGACAAGTGACTGGTGAATAGTGGAAGATATATCCTACAACAGCCTTATTTTCAAAGAATTTACGCTTGTCATTTGCCTGGATAACTAGCTGATGATCTGTATTCAACCAACATCTTTGGTGTTTGGCCACGTCTGGCTGTATGATTGCCTGCTTGGAAAAGTCTTTATAATGCTGTAGCCAGTGTATGAATTATGACTATTGAACTGTTTAGTGTAAACATTTCTGCACAAAAGAGCAGGAGTCAATTTAGCAACCAGAAGTAATCTCCATGCCAAAAGTCAACATGGCAAGAAAATAGGGTTCGTTCAGACATCAATTTAGCTTGAATGTTTGGTCAGAGAGATCGAAATGACTTCAGCATGCAAACTGCCATGTTGATCTAGTCACGATATTCTGTGGTATAAACCAATCGTAATTTAATGAAGATAATTGCCTGCTCAAATACGCTCCATTCTCATCGTCTGCTACTTTTCGCCATTTTCATCATCCTGGCAGATGCATTTTAAACAGGAATTTGTCGACTATTTCTTTTAGTGGTCAGATATAAAAGAAAACTTGGGAATTGCGATAGAAGCTGATTGAATATTCATAGCTGAGGAAATTGTGTGATATTGCCCATTGGGGTTAATTACAAATCTTCATGAAGTAAAAATTAAAGCTTTCATCGTACGATAAAGTGTGAGATCGAGAAAAAGAATTATAGTTGTTTGGTTGAATTCCCAACATTATGTTCAATGATCATGTCTTTCTCAAGTATTTCAATATTATTATTATCTGGTATGGTAATCTTTTTATAAGGAGGAAGATTGAGTCCTATCAAATACTCTCTAGAAAGGAGGTAAAAAAATGAAATTGAAATTAATATTGTGTTATTTACATTACCCTAATATGTTATGTTCAATAACTTTATTGCTATTAAATAAACTTGACGTGTAATCTTCACCAAAGAAGGTAGCTTTAGTTTAAAAAAATAACTCTTTTGAAAGACCAAATGTTTCCTCCAAAGAATCTTGAATGTCAAGTCACAAGTAATGGATTTTGTGTTATTTTTGGATAATTCAAACTGATTTTCCCCAAACGCTTTGTGATTAAGTGCAAATTTTCACAAAGTGAATCAGTTTTAAATCAATTTCTCTTGCAGACGTGGAATACTTGAGGGAAATGTTCGATTTCATTCTATGATTAAGGCGTTGTGCCGTTTGGTAACTCACTCAATATTATACCAAGCTGTTAAGACTTTCTCTATCTGCCTACACCACGGCCATCAATAATGACTCATGTCAAAACACGGTTGACATTTTTTAAACTTCTCAAGTTGATGATTGTCTGAATACAATGGCTTCTTTTCATACATTTTATACTAGAAACAATGATTTTGTAAACAAAAATCAGCCATAATATTTTTCAAGTTCTTATAGGCTATCAATAGAGGTGTCTGAAGAACATTTTGTACTGAAAAAATAGGTGTCTGAAATCAAATCACAGCTTTTATATGTAGATTAGACCTTGTTCATGTGTTGGCCATATTGGATCAAGAACGAGGTTCATAACGCCAATAAACAACCAAGGTAACATGGTGTCACTGCAGTAAAATCGTCACCTTGATATCTACCTCCTTCTCAAATCCCACTTACTCAAATCTAATCATATTTTACGTCAATGAATTCGAAATTGATGTAACTATTTTGAGATACTTGCTGTTGATCAGGTGTTTAGTGACAGACTATTCATTCATATAACATCACCATCTTATCAATGCCTGACATATGTTTTAAATCTCGCTTTCAGTGTCTCAAAACGGAGGCGTGAAAAAGGTCTATCACAATATGTAAAAACCACTGGAACAACATCACTTTAAAAAGACCTAAACACCCATTTCTCATTTTATGTGAGCATAATTCTTTTGAATGCAGCCCAAAAACTGGAGCCCAATTTTTTTGTAATTAATGAATGACATTTTCTATATAAACGAGGCACATGTCTGCCATTGTAGGTGATATATTGCCTTTGTAAATTTTATGCATCATAAATTTTCACTTTTGAAACCCGAGAAGGTCATAGAATTTGAAATCAGAGTAATTTACGATATTAAAGTACATTACTAAAAAACTAGTAGAAATTTTATGATTAATTCCCACTTGGATTAGAATAGTGTAATTTCTGCACAAAAATGCATCGTTTGAAGTCATCAATTGAGTTATCAATGTACTTGTTGTTAAATGACACAATAAATAAACGCAAAACGAGACTCAGATGAAACAAAAACTTTCTACAGTTGCTAAAATATTGATCTGCAGTAATATTTATTTGATTTACTTGGCAAATGGTGTAAGATGGGGGTTGTAAATCGTATAAGACCTTCAATGTACTTGGTAGATTTGCAACTATTAACTGTACCTAATCAATTGCAAATGATGACAAATCACCGACAACTAATTTTACATTCGAGATTGTGTTTTCAGAATGAGTTCACTGTATTGCCACATGATTTATTAGCGATTCAACCAGTGGTTTCAACATGTGTCCAACTTCTTCTCTATATCAACACGTTTTCTTTGTTTTTACCACGAGAAATCAACATCAAATCACCAAATCAAGGACTATTGAAAAAAGAGTCATTCTCTGAACAAACTTTACAAATGCTTGCGTCAATATTTTCTAATGGTAAGGCATGCTAGAATCAGCTAAAATCACATTCTTGTAACCAGAGTAAG